TGTACGCTGTGGTGTTTACCATTTGTTAATTTGAAACAGCCCAAGTCAGACTAGTCATTCAGTAGCAAGACATCTGTTTTACAAACCTCAACCCACTCAGTTGATCCCAAGAGACCATACTCTTCGCCTCCCCAACTACAGAGAACAATAGATCGACGTGGTCTCCACCCTAAAAGACGAGTCAGAGACCAAATTAGCCCATTAACTTCAAAGATCTGATTGTTAATTCTCCCCTCTGGCCGTTACACATTTCCTTCTAAGGTAGTTGCGAGAATTTGGTGCGAGATCAAGATAAGAACTTCTACTTGATAAGTTTGAGTATTCAGTCATCCCCTGTCGCTGGATGATGTATGGATATTATAAGGAAAGGTTACATATTAATCACTTCTGGGAATTAAAGGGTTGGCTTTATTTCTGTAAGTTCGGATTTTGAGGCTTCAGTCATGCATGGTTTATTGATAAAAGTAGACCCTCCACATAATATCAGCGAACAAGGTGTATGCACGCACGTAAACGCAATGATTGCACGCTAAAACAAAAGAATGCACATTTAACACGCTATCTGCGTGGAAGTTCCATGCCTCATTGACTTTTAGTTATTTCTTAGCACACTTACAACAACAGACTGTGTTCGACGTTTGCATAGAATTTTGCACATCAGCACATTGACAAGGTGACCGTTTCAAATCATAGCACGCAGCCCTACGCGCGCTTTGATTGGTTCTTACTTATGATCTTCTGGAAGACAGCTACAGGCGCATGGATGACGTCACCGTATACAACGTTTGCTTCTCTATTAATTGAAACAAATAGATTCTGTTCACTCGCCGATCCTAGAAGACGTCAAACTGTGTTAAAAAACATCAGTGACACACTTGGCTGCGCCTCATGTGCCCATGTTTGGCCCTACTGATCTTGCCACATTTTTACGTCATCTGTCAACGCAACTAAGAATCTATTGACATGACGCTATCGACACTGCCTGTAGTACGGCAGCTGGACGCGTGCCATTTATGCACTTTGTAACGTGCCTTGCTCATCATAGAGCCTCTATGGCTCGGTGGTAGAGCATCGGAGCGCGGAATCCCGTCCGACGTTCGATTCCTCATGGGGACTCAGAATTTTTTTCTTTTTCCTTTGTCCCACGCTCGTGACAAGACGACAAACATCTTTCTCTAGAATCTATTTGTTAGTACAAAATCAGGATAGGCTCAGAGAGTAACGGGTCATAAGGCTCACGAGATATAACCTTTCTGCATTTAGTAATCCTGTCAAGTTG